AACCAAAAAAAAAAAAATAATTAATTAGGGAGGGACTCGATAATTTTACATGGGAATTCGAAATTTAAGAGAAAGAGTAGAATAATATTCTTTGGTAAAAATGAGGATAATAATGCCTCTTTTTAATAATAATAATAATAATGTACTCTTTAGAAAATTACAATAGCATGTTAATTTCAAAGAAAATAAATAGTAAATGTTGGAGGAAATCCGTTGTATAGATTAATTTTCTAACAGTAATACTAGCAAACATTTTACTAACTGTTAAAAAAAATACGAAAGTTTTCTTTTTATTTTTTTGAGAAAAAAGTAAATACGAAAGTTGTTATAATATAATATGATTAGATCGATAGAACAACAATAGCAAGCAAATAAAATTTAATGAACACTTGTTGCAAGATAATCGAGGTGCATTTCAAAAGCGTTTAAAACAAATATTCACTTTAAAAGTGTTGGAAGACTACAACAATCCTCTCAACAAAATCTTCAAAAACCTTCGAGCTCCAACCAACAAAAACCAACCTGTCAGTGGTTGGCATTTGATGAGTTCAAAATCGACCGACTGTGTGCAACCTTAGTTGCCATGTTTTTTTTTTTTTTAATTTTTTAAGATACAGATTTAAAATCTAATAAAAATATCTTCGATTTCTCATTATTGGTAATAGGATTTTCTCCTTTGTCGATAAATTACTTCACGAGCTTTCATCTTAATTTCAAAATCCACATGATCTTCAACATGTGACTTGTCTTGGATCAACTCAATAAAAACTTGCACTAAATCTACGTAGTGATTTTGATATTATCAAAATCATTTTTGTTCTTGTCAAAATTACTTGTATTTTACAATGTTTGAGTGATTCTCAAGTGATTAAGAAGGAATTAATTTTTTGCCAAAGTGAACATAGTTTAGCGGTAATTGACGTACTCCAATCAAGATATTATAAGTTCGAATCTCTTCCCCGGTTGAATTTTGGTCCTCTACTCTCACTTTATTTATACATAATTATTTTTCACTCTAAAATTTTTATACTCTCTAATTTATTTGTTTTTTGTCCCTTCCTCACTTTTGATTTTATTTAACTTCTTTCTCTCTAAACTTTTTTTTTCTTTTTTTTTAATCTCCCCCCTCTTAACTTTTTTCTCTTTACAAATTTTTTTTTCTTTCTCTTTCTAACTTTTTTTTTCTCTCTAATTTTTTTTGCTCTCAATCTAAATTTTTTTCCTCTCGTTTTCAAACTTTTTTGTCTCTCTAATTTCTTTTTTATGTAAATC